CCCTTGCAAAACGCTGTATTTTTGCAAAGGCACGCGTAAATTTTCTTGTTTTTTTGACGTGTCATTTTGGGACGGCTGATAGGTGCGTGCTTGCAAAAATACTGTGTTTCGCAGTGGATTCTCTGCTCTACTCTTGCGCGCCGATGAATCGGCGCGCGTTTACGCTCCGGCCGAGCGTTATTGTTACTAAGATGGTTATAGTTGTTATTATGATTATTATTTTAACAATCATGGCTGGATCACATGCAGGCCCAAGCTGCAACATGCCCACTCGGACATCGTCAGCTCGCAAACTCTCAGCCGGAGAGGGGAAGGTGCGAACGCGATCAAACGTTTTACTGGGTTGTCCTTTGAGATCCTGTCTGATTTCCCCTATGGGTTTAGGGTTTAGGGCGTAGAAGGCCATAATTGGTAGTGAATACTAATTTTGAATGGGCTTAATATGAAGGACAACCCAGCTTAGGGTACAAGATCTAGCGGCCGGGGAAGGTTTCTGGCAGGCTGGCGGGTTGTTCCGCAGCTACTGCAGCCTACCACACTTGAGCCATAGTTTTAATTCCTAGTATCACCCTCAATCATGGAGTATCAAATGGAAAATGAAATGGAAACTGGTATTATATAGGGAATTAGAGGGGTTATAGTCTAAAACTCCCAGTATTAGTATCACCCTTCATAACCCCTATAGTAGTCCCCTACATAATCCCCTATGTAATCCCCCCGTTTAAGGAGTTTAGACTATGGTTGACTTTGACAGTGCTGTGGCAGAGGACTCTCAGTAGATGCTGGCGACTCAACCCTGAGCTGCGGATGCGGATTTACCTGCGGGACACCGTCGGTGCCTGGGCCAGGATGGCGAAGAGCCAATTATTTTCATCATCACTATTATTGTTCTCGTCATGATTATGACTATTGATACTATTGCTATTATTATTACTATAATTGTTTGATACTTTCGTGATTCACCTGTGTAAGACCGTGCAGCGCATGTTGCTGCTTCATTTCCATCTATTTCCGTCTCAAGATAGCACACTTGCTGTCGACAAGGCGCTGGATCGTCACCACAAGAGGCGCGTGAGCGGTATGGCTTTCAGGCTTGAATGCAGTATGGCAAGGCCCCCTGCGCAGTAGATCTGAAAGCTGCAGTAGCTGTTGCGCATCATAAGACCTCATCAGTACCAATGCTTGGTTCGGAAGCATCATTACTGTAGGCACTATGTAATATAACCCTCACAACAATTCCCCCAAAATAGTCCCAATAGCCCATCTCCCCCTTCGTAGCACAGGAAGTCCCGTCACACGCTTGTAGCTACCGGCGACTTCAAAAACATCATTCCCGCACCACAGGAAGCCTTACCGGTTGTCAGCAGGGGATGGAGAGTGCAAGCAGACAGTAGCGCCTGTATAGTCCCGAATAATTCAGTAGCTTCGAAGTCGTTGTTCAATGTTGAATTGATCCTAAGCCCGACAATCGTTTCCATGTTTTTAATTGAACACACCTTATGGCAGTTTGCACATTGTCTTTTCCATCTGTCACCCGCTACTAGTAACTAGTAACCAGTAAGTCAACCCTACATCCTATACCCGTCTAGCCTTATGTCACATATTATAAACCCCAAGTTTCCGTCTCATGTTCGATTTGATTTCCGTCATCCACTATTCCCAGGTCTCCCGCTATACCAGTAATATGATCCCACTTCCCACGTAACTTTGCATGCTCTTTCTCGTCTTGAACCCCCCCCCCCCAAGGCATCCCCATAGTGCCTACTTCTGTTCAATTCCTTGATTTCCGATGGGTCCCAAGAACAACCAGCAAGTCCTACAACCCCAACATAGGTACACAACACTATGAACCCTGCCTTGGATTTGGAGGGTCTAGGGATTAGGGTTTAGGGTTTAGGTTCAATTTGATTTTCTCTTTTGCAACCAGCAAGAACAGGTGTAGCACCTGGTCGGCCCCCGCAAGCCCAGCGGCGGTTGACAAGGCTAATGGGAGAATGGAAAAGAAAATGAAAGCTACTACCCTAATGCTGTCCGTAACAATACATACATATACATTCTATTTTGTAAGGGATCATACTTACTCTACCCTTGGGGAATTATATGGGCGGCTATAGGGAAAGGAGGAGCAAGTCCTCCAAGTTGAACTCGTTCTGGGCGCAGGTGGTTGAGCACGTAGCTGCACTGGCTGGTGACAACGAGAGACCCTGTGCGTTCCATGATGCCTGGTGCAATGCTGACGTAAGCACATGGTTTATTATGTGCTTGTCGCCAGGCCGGAATTTTGCAGTACTTAGGGTGACCAATGCGTAGCAGTGCAATTGAAGAGGCCTTCGACCGTCCATTGAGGAGCAGGCAGGGGGCAGCCTTTGTGCTTCAGCATACGCTTCCCTGCAGGAAGCTAATTAGAGGCGTCCGCTAGATACCCCTGCGCGAGTGTGCCTGCGAAGAAGGGAAAGCAAAGCAAATCCAGCGCATCACTCTGTCGGAGTCAGTGCAGACTCCCGTGTTCCAGGCTTTGGCAGTTGTACCCCGCGTCTGGCAGCCTTGGCAGTGCAAATGCCATAACCTACTCAAAGGGTTGTAGGGTCTGTTGCGATTTCCGGATGTTGTTGTGGGGATCCTATACAGACTTGGACAGGCATATGTTCCACCATTCCCAAGTAGCGTGAGTAAGAAAGATCACCTGACAGCTCAAGGCCCATTGCTCAAAAACGGGCAGCTTAAGTTGCGCTTCTTGCTGCATGGCGCAGTTCCGGTTCTGACGCCGGACTGCGTTCGTCTCCACCAACTCCGGTGTCTATGGACAAGGCTAGCGCTTTTGTTGCCTCTGGGGTGAAAAAGGGGTTCTGATTATTTAGGCCCCCCGCCCCCAAACAAGTAGAGGATTCTAAAAAGTCCGGGTCGCCCAATGAAATTTCGGCAAACTTGTGGGGGGGGGGTGGTCTCGGGCTTTGTCAATTAACTTTCCATTGCCGGGGATCATTCCGATCCTCAATTTGGCAAAAAAAATCGTTCTATTCCCAACCCAGTGCTCTTAGTCCGTTCAGCCAAGAGTTTGCCCTATTACGACCGCATGTATTAATCCGACGCCAACAATTCAATGATGCTCTTCTAGCTTCCCACCTGCGCTTGCCCACACTTTCCAAAATGCCGCGACTTCTAGCATGCTGCAAGGCCAGTTTTGACTGCAAGAAGAACAACAATTATTTGTAATATTATTGTTGTTATTAATATTGTTACTATTAATATTACTATCACTATTACTACTGCTGTTGTAAATGAATTATTAACAAGCTGAATCACGTGCAGCACCCAGCCAGTAAGCAGTGCCCTCGGCGTGTTTGACGCAGGCAGCAGCACGGAATGCGGCTGCGCGGCTGCAGGCCTTTGCCGAGCCAATGCAACCATTGAGGCCATTCTGAGTAAGGTTGACATGCCGGAGCTATCTTACAATAGGGTTTATGTAGTGGTGATATGGGGATAATGGAAAAGAAAATGGCAACTACTATAATGGTGTTTGTAGGGGTGATATAGGGATAAGGGAAAAGAAAATGGCCACTACTATAATGGGTTTTATAGGGGTTATCTAGGGATGATGGAGAAGAAAATGGAAATTACTATTCAGGGTTTATATAGGGATTATATAGGGTATATATAGGTGTGATATAGGGATAATGGAAAAGAACATGGAAACTACTATTTAGGGTTTATATAGGGATTATATAGGGTATATATAGGTGTGATATAGGGATAGTGGAAAAGAAAATGGAAACTACTATAGCTACCCATGGGGGTAAGATTAGGGTTTGACGTACCGGAGCGGCAGAGTGACTTTCACGCCTGTCCCTTGGTTTGCGAGGCTCCTGCTTGTTCGGCATGGCGAGAGCGCCAACCGGAGCCTCGAGAACAGCTCCAGCATGCTTATAGTCCCCCTTAAGTAGATAGAATATGGGGCATATGGGGATCTTAGTATGATACACCCAAAGCCATATTCTATCTACTTAAGGTGGACTATGTCGTTTGCAGGTCTTCATCTGCCATAAGTCCAAGTCACGTTCTCCCATCTCTTTCTTTTGCGTCAGGACATGTGGTAATGGTATGTCCTTGTAGGCCATCGGACTAGATGCCAACAGAATCAATTCATGGAGATCTATTGGGACGCCAGGGTGTTGGCTTGCCACTTGGCTTTG